TTTGAGAACTGAACTTTTAAAAATTTTTACATATAAAAATCCTTAAGTACATTTTTTTGTGGAATAAACAGAGTAGACTGTAATTAAATTTATAATATATATTTATTTAAATATTATTATATATATTTTATATAAATATTTATTTGTAGAGTGTTGCTAATTTTCACCATAGGTGATGTTACCCGGTTGTGTAAAAGCCAATCAGCTCTTCAGATCTTGTGTAACCAAAACAAAGCGAAAAAAAGAAAAATCAAAGAAAAGCTTTAATAACTCAAAATTTTGTTATGAAAATCATACTTTGACTTCTAAGTAAAAGTTTTTAGCACCAAATTTTATATATATTTAAGCCCACTTACTCCAACTCAAGGCTAACTCTAACCCCTAACCGTAAATTATTTTCTTTTAATAAAAATTTTATAATATCAGGTGATATCACCATGGGTGAAATTAGTTATAATCTTATTTGTAATAAAACAATAAAATAACTAATTAAAATAAATAAAATCTAAAATTAAAAAATAAATTTTTTATTTATTTAATTTATTTAAAAAATACAAATATTTAGATTAATCTAATTTAAATACATATGATTGAGAAGATACCATTACAAGGCAACAGGTTCAAATTAAATTATCTATTAATTATTAAAAGAAAACTATTAAAAAATACTATTAAAAGAATATTATTGAAAGAATACTATTGAGAAGATACCGTTACAAGGCAACAAGTTCAGATCTATATAAAAGAATATTATTGAGAATATATTGTTGCAAAACAACACAATTAATCTAATTTAAATACAAATACATTTAATTTTAACTATTATGAGAATACTGTTGTAAGGCAACAGATTCAAACCTAAATTAATTCTATCAAAAGAATACTATTGAGAAGATACTATTGCAAAACAACACGTTTAGATCTAAATTAATCTAATTTAAATACAAATTGATTTAATTTTAACTATTATGAGAATACTGTTGCAAGGCAACAGGTTCAGACCTAGATTACTTACAAATAAATCTTAATTATGAAAAAATTAATCTAATTTAAATACAAATAAATTTAATTTTAACTATTACAAGAATACCGTTGCAAAGCAACAGGTTCAGACCTAGATTAATTCTATCAAGAGAATACTATTGAGAAGATACTATTACAAAACAACACGTTTAGACCTAAATTAATCTAATTTAAATACAAATAAATATAATTTTAACTATTATGAGAATACCGTTGCAAGACAACGGGTTCAGACCTAGTTTATAATATATATTTGCTATTTATTGTTAATTCTAGATTATAAATATAAAGTAATAAACATTACTATTTTATTTATAAATATAAAGAACATTTATAATAATAATTTAAGCATTCAAAGTAAGTTATGCAAGTTTATACATATTTACTATTTATAATTTAATTATAAAATGAAAACTTAATTTATATTCATATTAATTTAGTACATGGGCATAAAAACATTCAAAAATAAGTTATTCTAGCTTATGTATTCAGCTTCATAAATATTTACTATTGATAATTACTTCAGATTGTGAATATAAAAACAATCATTTTATTAATTAAATGTTAAAATAAACTATTCAAGTACATAGTATAAATTTAAGTATCTTACGAAAGAATTCTTGTTACAGTTATAATGATGATAAAGTATGGATCTTGACATAAAAATTAAAGCACATAAAAATAGAGGTTGGCGATTACATCAAATGATCTCAGAACTTACAATAATGGATATTTTACTATCTTTTTAATTGACATTGATAACTTTTCTATATTATGGATTTTCTTTTTGATTGCTTTTATAATTGAATGGAATTCATTTGACAAACTAAAGAAATTAGCGATTTTGTATGATAAAGGCTATTAAATTTTATTTGACATAAATCGGCCAATTTATGAATTTCTAAAATTATCGTCAACCGAGTTACCCAGTTTACTCGAGTTATTTGAAACAATTGTCCGGTTAATGGTTTTATAAACGAGTAAGTTTAAATTTTATAGGGTATAACCTCTAATACGTACTATACGTATGTCAGTTACAATCAATGAAGATAACAAAAAGAATCTTATGTCTAAGCCACAGTAAATGGTTTTTTAATCAGAATCTTCAAAGTTCTTCTTTAATTAGCATAAGGGTTTTTATTAATTTGAAATACCTCATATTCTTCTACTGAAAAATATGATGCATTATCGCTTTCGTATGTAGCCAAATTTCTAATTGGTTCTTTATATGACGATTCTTTGAAACTCATACAATTATTATTTTGGTTATAATCACTACGCATAATAATGTCATAACCAAAAACTGGACCATAATGAGGATCATTATGAATTGCATATTCCGGATTTTTTACACGGCTTAAAATAGAATTTTGAATAGTATCCTTTTTTAATGAAAAAATAAAACTGTTATCGCATCTTACGTTATAATTAGCAGATGATTTATTCCAACCAACAGGATTATATCCACCAAGTATTTCGCCTGTGCCTTTAACCTTCATAACTACAACAAGATTTTCTTGCTTATTGCATAAGTTCCAAAATGAACCTGCAGTAAAACCATCTCTACTTCCACGAATAAGTAATTTAAATTCATAAGGATTATTTATTACAAAATAAGTATTTCTATCAATCCATGAAGCAATTTCTGCCGCATGAGTTTTATTAATAACTGTTGAAAACTGTTGTTCTTTTGAGTTCATTTCTTGTTCTACTAGTTTACAATATTCAAAAAGATCATTAAAATTATATTTCTCTGCCAACTCTTTAACTTTTATCAGAATACCATAAACTAAGTTCGTCTTAACGTATCCAGCCAATTCATATTCTATCAAGTCTTTAAGTGATTTGAGTTTAAATTTTTCAGATGCTAATAGTAGATCTTTGCATATTTGAAAAAATCCATCATTATATTTCGCCTTTCCATTGCAATGAATAGCCTGTGAGAAAGGTTTACCATATAACCAATTTAATAATATATTGAATGAGTTAGGCTCAATATCATCATATGTTAGTTTATATATTATCTCTTCCTGTTCGAAAAATATTTCTTCAAAATACGGTGCTACACAAACTAATATTGATGAATTTGCATAAAATTTTTCTTCTTTAACTTTAAATAAAACATTGTTGAACTTTGTTTTCTTTCCTTCTTCTAAAAATTTTATAATTGACTTTGACAATTGTTGAGAACTATATACAGTAGGTTTAGGTTTAAACCAATCAGAAATTTCTACTAAATTTACTCCAACTAAAGTCAAAAGTTTTTCATATTTTCGAAGATATTCAGTAACAGATCTTCTTTTCGGACTATAGTCTTTTTTAATATTTATATCAAGATGTGAAGCAATAACCCAACTTGGTGAATCAAATGGATTAGTACTATTCAAAAATAGAGGAACATCTTTGGGAAAGCAAGTATACATTTCTTTTGTATTTTCAGTACATCGTGAGTTCAATTCTTTATAAATATCTTTGATTATCTCAAATAGCAAACAACCATTTATATCTTTTTGTTTCCATTCATCTGATTTAGAAACTTCTTCTTGAATTGTTTTTAAATGATTAATTATTGTTTTAATGGTAGGCAAACCAAGACTATGATAATTTTTTAAAACTTCTTCATCTGGTTCATTTTTAAAGAATGATAATTGAGTCCATGCAAGGTTTTTGTATTTTGAAAGACATAAATTTTCAAAACTTTGTAACTTTTCACTATTGTAATTACGACTATATTTGTATTGAACTTTCAAAACTTTTTTAGAGGTTGGAACAAATTTAATTTTTGATAATTTATTCCAATTGGCTTCCGAAAAATTTAACTCTGATTGATTTTCATAAAAATAGCAAACTGTTGTGTTTGCTGAATTTTTAATTTTCTTTTTCTTGTTTAAATCATTTTCACGCTTAAAATTGACTTGGATCTCTTCCGCACATTTAATAAATATTTCAGGGGTAACATCACGATTAAAACCTATCTTCCTAAGTTCTTCTTTGAGTTTTTGATTATTTTGGAGAATGCTTGGAAGAAATAGATTAGAATCTTCATAAACACACTTAAACAGAGGATTGTCTTCATCAAATAAGTCCTCTGCATAGCAAAGTTTAAAGACTTTATTTGGAATAGCTTTTAATCCTTTTATATAATTCTTAATTTCATTAATGCTATCGTCATCGGAGAATATGTCAATCAAGAATTGCGAATAGCCATCTTGCATATTCTGAGGAATTGAAATATCGGAAACAATGACATCCTTAATATATAGCAATTTATTTTGTTTTTTAGCGGATAAAGATTCTAATAGTTCACGCATATTTGGTCGATTTGTTGTATTATAATAACAAGTGCAGCATTCCTTTGGCGGATAAAACGTAAATGGTTTAGATGAACTTGGTCTTGTCGGTATTAAATATGCATTATCATCTAAAATAGATTTATATATTATATTTCCAGCATTCACAGTATATGTTGGCCATATGGGTAATTCTTTCAATTTATTAGCTACATTATGTATTAAAGACAAATTTTGACAAAAGTATTGACTCAGGATCTCTTTTGCTTCATTATCGTTTGAAAGTTTATCGTGGCATTGATATTTTTCAATCATAGATAAGATATTTTCCGGCTCTAATGTTAAAATATATTCTTTAAGCTTCTCATTACATTGACGTGTGGTGAACCGAATTCCAATATTTGCCAATGCTTCAATTATACGTATATCTTTTGTAGAATCAGAATAGGCTAATAAAGGTTTATGTTTTGCATTTGCCAAACTAATAAGCTTATGTTGACTATTCGGATTATATACTTCTAATAAAGGGAATGATTTAAATGGTTCCAAGGAACTATTTAAAATATACTTCCATATTTCGTTAAGCCATTCTTTATTTGGGAATGAGCTTGAATTAGGCTCCCAATCTAGCTCAAACACCTTATCTAATTCTTTAATTAAAAAGTCTCTAATAGATAGTTCACTAAATATTTTAATATTTGTAGCTGTAAGGAATTTTTTATCAGTGAATTTTTCGTATAGTTTTTTTCTTTTTAATATTTCAGCAGAAATAAAATGATCTGGTCCGGCATTAGGAAATAATTCAAATTGTTCTAATGAAGCAATACAATAGTTCATACTTCTAAGAAATGTAGCAAATCTATCTTTAAATAATGGAACTAGCGCGATGCCTTCAAGCTCTGCATAACATTCATCTTCAAGAATATAATTTAATAGAGAAAATTGAAGGTCTAAATTGGATGGATCTAATACAACTCTATTACCTTTCAAAATGCTTCTTACAAATTGCGAATTAATTTTTTGAGGTATAAATCCATAAGTTTCTAATTTTTCTAAATGTACAGGGTCTAATAAGACTGTAGGATATTCTTCATTAAGGAAGTTGGCAATATTTTCTGGCGTTTTTTCGTTTATAAAACAGCAGTGTTTAAAACTATTATATGATCCACCTTCAGAAGGTGACCAAAATATTTTGTGAGTTTCTCGTGCCACAAGTTCAAGCACTTTTTGTCCATATTTATCCGGTATTTTAGAGTCAAAAGGCCAAAATTTGGAAATAACTTGCAAATTGTCTTTTTGTTGCCTTCTTAAATATTCTTTATAAAATTTTACATGAAGTTGAGGAAGAACTTCTGTTAAAATGTTCATGTTTTGTAATGCCTCTGTATCATTTAGATCAAGTCTAGTTCGATCTGGTGAAAGTTTCCAATTATTTGAATGCAAATTTATAGACAGTCCTGTGGAGTTAAGAGAAATATGTGAATGATATTGTCCATTTTTGGGCTGTTTTTCATAAACTAATGAGTTTTCTGAAATAGCTGCTGCTACTCCACCCCATGTATCACTTGGTAAAAATTCATAATTTGAACCAAAGGTCTTTACTCCGGAACATATAAGCCAATTTTTACTGTTTAAATCATCTCCTTCAGTGAATTGTGTATCAATTTGAAATGCTTGCAATTTCTCTCCATAGAATTTGCGGCCTGGATCATTCTTTTTAATTTCAACTTTCCATATAATTTGTGCATTCTCATGCGGACCTTTTTTTCGGTAAACTTCGATAGATTCTATATTTCGTAGAAAAATCAACTCAGAAGTTACATTCTTCTTTATATTATCCAATACTTTTTTAATATCATCAATTTTATATATTTTATCAGAAATTTCACTCGATGCTGTTCTAAGTGGTAATCTAAATAAAGTTCCTTTGAATTTTTTATCATTAAAGTCAAGTTCAAATATATCTCCATTAAGGTTTAAATACGGTTCAAATTGATTTCTAAATATATTAAAGACATGTCTTTGATCTTCATTACAGTAATCGTCAAAATAGAATATACTACCACATTTATTGTCAGGAAGAAATTTTCTTTGAGGGTCGAAAAATACAATTCTATCACTTGATATAAATTGTGGTAAATCTGTTAAATTATAACATGAAATAAATCCAAGTCCATCTTTTCCGATTTTGTCTGGTTTCTTGTTGCAATCAACATGGATAATTGATTTGAAATCACCTTCGGTAAATGATTTATTATTATATAACCATATTGCAGGTCCCTGCCAACTGTCCATTTCTTTTTTTATTAATGATTTAGAGCCTCTGTAATCACTATCATCGAGGATAATACAAAATTGTGTTGCCCCTGCGTCATCTGCATTTTTGAGAAATTCTCGAAATACTATTTCATCACGGCCAAATCCCTAATTAATGAATAATATTGCATTAATAAAATGAATACTTCATGTAGCATACTAAACGAATATAAGATTCTTATACACATACTTCAAGAGTTTTTTTAAATAATGCTGTTATTTCTGCATCAAAAGTACGAATTTTATTTATTAAAAAATTTTCACTGAAATTTTTAATCTTTAGTCTTTTTGCTAGCTCACTCGAAATTTCAGGATGCGTTAGAATATTCCTATTTTCTTTTACTAATTCCTCATGGTCAGTAATATCATTATAAAGAATGTTTTCATGAACTATCATTTCACTAAGCATATTCGGAATGAATAGTCCTTTTAAATCCTCATTTTTGTGTGATAAATATTCAAGTATTTCTATTATCTTAAACTTTTTATCCTTAAAGCTTAAATTTCGTAGTATTTCTAAACAATCAGAAGTCTTAGGCTCTTCTTTAACACCAAGCTTTTCAAGAAGTATTTGGTAATATTTTCTATTATGTCTCGAAACCGGATTCCATTTAAAGCCTATAAGGCAGTTTGGAAGAGTAAATACTAACGTGTCTGTTGAATAAATTTTGTCGTCATTTAGAATCCATTTTGCTTCTGACAATTTATCCTTTAAAAAGTCAATGAAATTATCAACAGTGTTATTTAAATATTCATAAATTTTATTAATATTATCTTCTGTTTCTTTCTTTTTTTGTATCTCAAATTTTTTTAATAATTGAAATAGCTGATTTATCATGGTATTTATTGATGGATTATTATCCCATTTAAAGATTTTGCGCAAATTATTATTTTTAATTAAATAATTAACTATTGGCATTTCGCAAGAGACAAATAGTGCATGTAATAGATCTCGACAATCTGAAAATTTTGAAAATGCATATTGCCCATGTGGATTTTTGACTGGTATCCATGCTTTTGTTGTAATTTCTTCCCATAATTTGCGTGAATTATTGCCATTATTAAGGGCGTCATAATTGTTGTCTATATATCTTAATAATAAAAGGGATTTTTTATACGTCCCATTTTTATAATTATCTGAGGTATATATTTTTATACGATCGATTACATCATTAATAGTCATTAATTCTTTCATTCCCAATTCAAGTAATTTATGATAATCTGTTCGATATTTATCAGTTGGAAAAAATGATTCATCTGAATAAAAAAAATCTTCTAGTTGTTTATATGGAATAAAAATATCAATTGGTCTCCGTTTCTTAGTTGAAGTTGTTGTAACGAATTCTATTTCTTTAAGTTCTTCCTTTACATTAACGATAATTTCCCACCGCTTAAAAAGTTCTTTTATGACCTCATCCATAATTTTTGGTTCTTGTGAATTTAAATACTTAATGACATGTTCTTTCCAATATTCTTCTTGTTCCAATCGTCGAACTTTGAGTACTTCTTCAAGAAGAAAACGGAGATCTTCAGAAGTACGAGTTTCCAAAAATGTCGAAGGTGAAATAATGCGACCACAAGATCGTTCATCCTCTTTAGGAAGTAAAAAATAATCTTTTTTAGATTCAATTAATGAACTAATATTTATAATATTTGTACTGTTCACTTCGGTAAATATTGGAATATATTTTATTACATTTGCAGCCATTGTGTAGTAAGTCTCGTGCTTCAAATCACCAAGGTAACGAGTTAATTTATTTCTCTGATCATAAGTAAGGTTGGCTTGAACAAGATTTGATGGGAAAGAACTATGTAGTTCAAGAGATGATAAGACGGCTGTGACATTATGAATTTCAATTACGTAGTCTTGCAGTCTATAAAATGTTTTTGCATATTTAGAATATATATTATTGTGTTTAATTAAAAATCCATACTTACTTTTCATATTTTAAAATATTTTCGCTTATAAATGTAGAACCTAACAAAGACAATATCTGAACCATTTCTACAAACAATGGTTTTTTAGATGAACGGCATAAACATTTTTCTTTTGCTCCTAATTTCCTTAAGGTAATAAAGTCATTGTTTTCATTTGTGTCAATTAATAAAAGATAAACATCCAAAAAATGTATCAAATTTCTATTGTTTTGTTGTAAATAATCCCAAATTTCATATATCCATTTCATTTTATTTCTTTCAATCTTTATTTCCTGAAGACTTTCAGAATTTTCAACTTTATAAAACATTATATTTTTATTGAGAATTTTAGCAAATACTTCATCTGAAAGAATTTGTATATTAATATCTTTATTATATACCGCATAATCATGTAATACTCTTAAAAGCTCTTTTCCAATTGTGCTGTCCACGAGTTTTTTCATGAAATTTTTATCAATAAACGTGTGTTCTTTTTTGCTAGCAATGTAATAAAATTCATTGTGACACCGAGATTTGAAAGTGGTGAAAGTTTTAATTCCGACCGGAAGAAGAGGAAGCCCGTGAAGTTTATTGACATCTTTAACTCTAAGAATATACTCCAATAAGAGCAACTTTTCAGTATCATTAAAATCAATATAACTGTCGGCATGCATGTAGGTAACGCTAAGATGTTCACAAACTTTTTCAGGCGTAATGAAGTTCATTTGATTTCTTAAAGTACTTTGTTCTAATTTAATTACGATTGATTCTGGAATATCCACAATAACTGGAAATTTTAACTTAGCCAGTAATTTTAATAAATCTGGTGATTTGCTGAAAGTTTTGTCAGCAAAATATCCATTATTAATTGATAAATAATCTAAAGGACCACGAAAAATTTCTAGATTAATATCCAGTTGATCGACGACATTCTGCAAAAGATTGGCCCATAGACAATGTTTCACATCCAAATTCTTGGAGGATCCATGGGAGGGTATTGGCCAAAGTGTATAGATTTGTTCAAATGACACGTAATTTTTCACTTCGGACAAAAATTTTTTCCATGCTATTGGGATAACATTTTCAAATAAATATTTATTCCATAGTCCTTTACGGAGTAATAGATCATCTGACGCCTAAAAAATTTATACCATAAATGCTATGAAACACAATCAATCGATAACAATAGTACGCACATACAGAACGAGGTGATAATTACCAAATCTTCATGCGTGGAACTTTCCAAATGTCTTCTATTTTTGCTGACGGCAAAGCAACCATTGATCGAAATTGAGAAGTCATCCTCTATTTCTGGTAAAGGAAGGAAACAATAAAGCCTTCCTTTATTCTCTGATACTTTGTCAATTCGCGCTGCGAGCCCAACAAGTGGTACAAATTTACAATCACGGACATTTGTATTGAATTTTTTATACTTTTCGTCATTTTTATCAGCTATGTAATTGATAATTTGCCATACACTTTCAATCTTTGTATAATGCGCCGATATGATGAGAAATTTAAGAATTAATTGTAAATTTCAGTCATGGGAATCGGATTCAATTCGATTTTCCACATTGCTGATGTATGCTTCTTTATTTCCGGATCATCTTATGTCTTTATTGATCCTCATGGTCGTGGGTATTGTAAAACACCAGGTGACCAGCGAGGTACTAAAACTGATTTTGTAAATCATAAACTAGCAATGAAGGCAATTATTCCATTTACTTATTATATATTATTATATTGTTATGTTGTTTGATATTTTCGACTCGTGATTGATACTTGATATTTTCTGTTCATAGTATCCTGATCAATTCATGCCTTTCTCAACGGCCTTAAAAAATAATTCCCTGGATGAATCTTATGAAGGAACGATATTTCGGTATCCTCTTCGAACTGATAAGGATGCTGCGGAATCAAAGATTTCTACAAAAAAATACCAAATCGATCAAGTTAGAGAAATGTTTGATACTTTCTTCAAAGTTGACAATATCACTTGCCTTTTGTTCTTAAAATATATTGAAAAGATATCATTTTACGAGATCAAAAATGGTAGTAAAATTCCTGAACTCATATATAAAATTGAAATGATCAATGCAGAAGAAATAAGAGAAAAAAGGATGTTGATGGTTAATAATATAAAGGACAAAAAGCAAT